ATTTTAATGGGATGTGCTGTCTACATCATCAATGGTTCTTAAGGAATTGATCAAAAACTGTTTTTCACGTCCAATCTTTGAAGGATCGTAGATCTTGAAACAGTCTTAAGGAAGCATGTTACTCCCGTTAAAATTTTTATTTATTTTAACGAAAGGAACAAGGCCCTATCGCAAAACTGCTTTTTTAATTGTTCTTTTAATTTATTATGAAATAGGCGTTCCTGATATAAAAGTAGACACATGAATGAGAAAAGCTTACTATCTACCTACTGATTTAATTGAAATTGGCTCTAACATTTTCAAAACTGGAAGATGAAATCTTTCGTCATTGTTTGAATGTCTATTTCTAAACATATTGAAACATTTTTCATTTCTTGTTTAAAATGAAATGATACCGATCGATTCTTATGCATAAGAATGATAAGATTTTATGGTCCGCTGCTTTTTCCGTAAGCTACTCCGTTGCTCGTAATTTTACCATATTTCCCGAACGGATTGACATCTCGCTTCGATCTTGTGTCGTTGATTACGTTCATGCTAGTGCTGCTTGGTGGTGAGACCTCTAGGAGCGAATATAATGCCTTTAGACATAGCGACTGAAAGCCACGTTAAAACGCTACAATTGTCTCTAAACAGACTGTATTTGTTGTTTTAGAATTATTATAGAAAAGCAATGTAGTACGTATTTTCTAATAAATAATCTTTATAACATAACCATAATTCATACATCTGCCACAGTGCATCTGCGTAGTTAATAAACAAATTGATGATTTTAGGAAGTTAGCTTGCCTGCGTTCGGTAATACTCATATTCGAAATGCCTTTCACAACGATGCGCCCCCTTCTTTGAAATACCTATAAAAACTTTTTTTTTGTGAAATCGCGTCGCGCTTGGGTACGCCTAGTTCGGACGTTATATTGCATAACCACCTACCACAGAGACAGTGTTTACCATGCTCCTGTGAACGTAGCATAGTATAAGGGTTAAATAGGCCTCTTTCGGCCTCAAAATTCTATAGTGTTGAATTCAGAAGTTTTTATTAATCCAAGTTAACTCAATTTCAGAATAACAACTTAAATCGTGTGACTCAGAGGATGGCATCGGCTAATTCAACTTAATGGCGATGTGTGGTAGGAACAAAATGTAAAAAGGAAGCAGAAGGGCTGAAATAAGAAAAATGAATCGTTGAAGCCTTAATTTAACTCCGTAAACGAAATAAACGACGTGTGTACTTGAAAATACTTTATCTTGATAAAAATGGGCTGTGCCCATTCGCGAGAAAATAGATGGAGGGCACAGGGACGGGGTCGCGGCTCGCGACGACTGCATTTAGGCATCGAGGTGCTCAAAGTGAAATATAATATACTTAATATTACGTACAAGCGTATGTTTAATAACAAATGGTATATAATCTTTTGTCAGAATACAAAAATAACGAATTAACAATAACAATGTACATTTTGTTGACAATATGTCGCTCTAAATTAATTACAATTGACTTGAAAATTCGATATGTTGAAAAACATCTTACCTTGAGACAATATAAATAATAAACCATCCTGGCAAAAAAATTATTAACAAAACGTTATGTGCGTTTCCTTTCATTTCCCTTATGTCAACATATCAAACCTTCTAAACCCTGAATTCAGCAGAGATCATAAAAATGGAATGATTACGCCAAACTCGTTCGTTGTGTCGTTTTTATCTTACTCGTGACACATTCACCAGAATGTAGGAATGGCTATAGCAAAAGCGTTTACCGGAGCTAATACTGAGTCTAAATACGTAGTACTGGGGGTCGTCTACCGTACACAAATATCTTTATCCTAACCTAGAGAACAGTAGTACTTACTTTTACCTAAACTAGTCTATACCTAGTAATTATAATCATGACCTATCTAGAAATAGTATTAGTTAAGCTATTATGGAAGAGAAAGAGTTTTCCTAGCCCACTGTTGAAATGTTTTTAGAGTGCTTGACGACAAATTCGTGATTAACTTTAAAAAGGAACTGTTGGAATATATTTACTGTAAAAAGAAATATGGGAATTGTTACAAATTTATGCATCTGGATTACCCGTTGGTACTTTATAAAACTCAAATTTTTAATATTAAAAGAAAAAGGAACATCAGAAATTTTATTTAAATTAACCCTTTTTCTTCTGAATCTAATTCTTGAAGAAAAAAAACGACAACTAGTTACTTAAAGCATTTACAGTATCATATGTACGAAATTTTAGCAGTATGAATTGTGTCGTAGAATTTTATGATTTACATGAGTGTTTTGCAATTTATTATCTCCTTTTAAATTGAAGGTGTAATAAATTGTAGTAAAGCTCGTCCCATTCAGCAAGAGGAATAAATACTGCAGAAATTTTGAACACGTATTATAATAAACCATTGGGCGATGCAAAAAATATTAATAAAAATAGTTCATTATATGAAGAAACCTAAGAAACTTAAGAATATGTTATTCAAAAACACTGTTTACCTACTTATGGCACAGATTAGGATATAGTTTTGTATTGCATTTTCCGATAATTTTACTGATACTAATTGTAAGTTATCAATGAAAAATCTTCTTTCTAATTTCCCTATAAAAATAAAATAAAATTATTCGTGTGAAGAAATTTGTCTGGTTAAATATTTCCATGAAGGATTTAGTGGTAAATAAATACTGCCATAGGCTTTCACTGTATTGTGGATTTCACTACGTTTCTCTAATAGCGTACGAATTTCGCTGATTATATTGTCAACTTTTTCAGAAATTATTCAGAGGTGCTCTTAGTGACCTTAGTATCTCTTTTAAAGAAGACAGTCACAATATGACCTGAAGGAAACAGCTTCTCCGGAAAAATTGCATCCAATTACAGTGTCTGATTACTCCACTAAATATTATATAGTTAAACCTCAAGATATCTGAATACTGGACTCATTTTGTTAGAAACAGAATTTTAGAATGAATTTATCTATTGATCCTGGTCTTAAAGTATAGTACTTATTGCGTCAGAAGAAAAATGGAACCGTTACAACTGTATTAAAGGAAAATAAAGTGCAAATAATTTTTGCCGATTGTTTGTTGTACATAGTGTTGTGAAAAAATGTATTTTTCATATAGATAATAGATAAAATCCAACAATTCTAGATAAAAACAAAAGGTAATTAAATGACATTGTCGGATTCTACGCGAAAAATCAACAAAAAGAGTTCTGTAAATATTTATCTGAAAACATTTAGTTTTCATGATACAAAGTGTTCAAAATGAATAATTGTTTATTTTAAGTTGAAAAAATATTGAAGGGAGCCATGTAAGTAATATTTTATTCATATTCATAACGTGTAGTAGAATTACTTTTGTTATTTCGAAAATACAGGACGATAACGTTTTGAATTTGTATAAAGCATTTAGTGCTATATATGATAACGAGTGAAATTTGAAATGGCTAGGAAGAAAAAAATACACTCCACATTTAAAATGATTTAGATAAATATTAGTTATCTACGAAAATGCAAACAATGTAATTTTTGTATAGTGTATCCAGTTCAGCGAAACACACTTACAAAAGAAAAATGTTGGTATTGATATTTTAACTTCTAACAATAAGCTTTAAGCCGACCGTCCTTTGGATGCGTATTCGTCCGAATTTGATTCGTCAGACATCGGATAAGAAAACTATTTTTCAAAAGATAATCATCCATATTATGAACAATTATAATATGCTGATTTGATAAATCAGTATGTACGACTGACTTCTGTAAAGCAAAAACTTGTACAGTGGACGATACTACATGGGCAAAATCTGACAAAATTCTCAATACTTACTTGAAACGGTATTAAAAAAGTAGATTAGAACAAAAAATTAAATTTCAATGTCTTAGACTAAGTAATTATTTAAGAGTTAAAGTTAAAACAGAAATTATACATAGGTAGGTACTTAGTTTTTCATTTTGTTACTGTATTGATATCTCAAAACTAAGATTATAGCACATCTTCCTTTCATAATATGTTCGAAAATATACATATTATGTAACATGGAAATCAGTTATTTTCGGTTTTTGGTACTGTAACAATTTAAATAAATCCAAATATTTATGGATGCAGTCACTAAAAATCAGATTATTTGGCACAAGAAAAGTCACGATTTTTCAATCGTTTTCTGAGAATTTTTAAACTAAATCTATATTTTAGATAAAACATCAACAAATGTTTCAACTAAATTAAGATCTTACCTTATTCTATCCAGATATGTCATTTAGATAAAGTAATTTAGCCAAAGTAGAGATAAAGGTAAAGTTCAACAAGTATACAATAACATTTAATTGAGTAAATTTAAATACTTTCTTCAGTTTAATATTTATAATTTGAATAAGGAAATCAGAAAGAGCTCTCAATGTGACAAAGTTATGTACAGTAACTTTAATGTCATATATTTATAACATAGAATTTTAGTTTTTGAAAGATATTTATCAATACAAAATTAAATGAGTTGATTTTAAATTTAGAAAGTATAATACATTTTTAGAAATACATGTCCATGTTTTGCGTAGCGCCTCTAAATGAAAAAGATATGTTTATAAGAAAGCGTCACGATTCAAACATTTAAGTATTGTGTAGTGTATATCAATTACTGCAATTCCTTAATATCACTTTTTCTAAAAATATTTGTTGTCATAGCTAAACTTTAACAGCATTACATTGTTATTTATGTGTTAACTATGTAGGAAATGGGCTAGAAAAATTACAGATACGAGCCAATCTAGAGATGAGAAAAGAGTACCATTTTTGCGCTGTGTGTTAGTGTTACTAAAATGTATTTGTTAACAGAAACGCCTTTGGGACGTTCGGATCTAGAGAAATCGCGTACTTTGCCGATGTTCACAGGGGCATGGCATGCAGACTTGCCGCTGCGGTACCGCCGTACACCCCTAGATGGTGTTCCAGGGGGTACGACAGCAGCGGCAAAGGATGGTGGTGATGGTGTAAACTGGTCAATGCATTACCTGTTGGGTACGGCAGTCCGAAACTAGGGTAGCCCGAGTAACCTCGACCGGCCGCGTAGGCCGCATAAGCGGCAGCGGGAAAACCTGCAACATAAAAAACAGTATTAGAATCGTCAAACATTATACATATATATGAAGTTATAATTTTATTTATTTCGTAATAATAGAAAGATATAGATATAGAAAGATATAGAAATAGAAGATCTATTTTAGGGGAAATAACACCAGAAAGATTATTTACTCTCATATTTAAAAGGTAATATAAATTTAAGCTTAAGTTATTTTATCCATGACATTTAGATTCTAATCTTCAATCAGAGAGCTTCTTAGTATTGCATATATGTATTTTGTGTTCCATATGTACTAATTAATTATAAAGGGTGTTTAATATGCTCTATGACAAATTTTAGTAGATGATAGTAGGGTTAATTTAAAACATTATTCTTCTTTGATGTAACAATATGGTTTAATAATAGAATAATTGACGAATGTTTTGCTAGTTTGTATAGAGACTTTCTAGGGTAAGTATATGTGTATTTTCTGTAGAATAATTCATTTTTGTATTATCTCTTCTAATCTTATTATACTACAGTTAAAAGCACCACCCCAGCCTAAAATATCTACTATACACGAATAATACAGAATGTTAATTGCTATAGACAAAATTTGCCCTGAATATTTCAATTTTGGAAGCAATGCCAATTTAATTTTGAAATTATCCGTAATATTTAGTGGCTTTAGATAATAATAATTAGTATATTAAACAGCAATGGCCCCCATAAAGTACCTCACGGTACACTAAATTGTACTGATCTGGATTTATTTATCATCTGCTGCTTTCTTTCCGATAGTTAGCTGTACATTAATGTTCAGATTGTTCCCCGAAAGCTAATCTGTTCAAGAGTTTTGATAACACCAGAGTGACTAACAGTGGTCAAGATTTTAGCCAGATCTACGAAAATACTAAATGTTTAATTTAATATAATAATAATTCAATAATTTTTATATACATTGGATGTTAAATTTGCAACTGCATCCTCAGCAAATGTGACCCGTATTTTATATATGCCTACGTAACCAAATTTTCTTTTTCTTAATACTTTTTTTTGTTGCTTCCTTTAGCTGATAGCTGTGTATGGTGTATGTGTATATATAAATGAAATGAGGTTTTTTCAAATAACTAACTTATGCTAGTACTTATCTCCTATGTGTCACTTTTTGATATAGTAATCAAAGTACATTTACAGGACCAGAACAAATAGAACCACTCCTAAAATGATACGCTCATATTTTTTTTACCCGGTGGCCTAACAACATCAGTTCTTCTTCATGTGGTATTTACTGTACTATCGTAGAAACAAATAAAGCTAGCTAGCCAGGTGTTACAAAAAGAGAGAAGTTAATCAACACTTTGTAGTGTATTCTTGGAGACGATTTTTTGTTTTTTAAAATAAAATTAAAATGGCGAAGTTTATTGAAGCTTTAAGTTTTTTGGTTAGAACAAGGTAAAAAATTTCATAATTGGGGATATTTGAATAACTTGACATAATTTTGCAAATAATGGATAAACTAGGATATTGACTGTAATTTTGGAATCTCAAAGTGTTGTACAGGAATACTGATAATTTCAAAGTGCTGCAATTTTTTTCATAGTGGTCGGAATGTTTAAATTTGTCGTTTTTTTGGTGAAAATCAATGTAACGAGTAATTTTTCCCTTTCCATTAATTGTGAAAATGTTTTTTTAGCAATTATCCACATTTTCTTAATCAAAAAGCGGTAATTATTGTCAAAAATGACAAAATTAATTTTTTTTCCAAAAATTATGTTTTTAATTTTTTTTAACATCTACAATGCTTCAATCGTCAAAATTTTTTTTTGTTTTGATCGACAATAACTCAGCGACAAATCATCGTGCAGGGCTCAGGAACCACTCAAATAGAAGGTAATTGAATTATCTCTTTTTAAAGACAAACTATTTGGAAAACATTTTTTTCGTTGGTTTTCCTATGATTACTCAAAAACCGCTGACGCTAAAAAAATTTAAAATTTTTTAAAATTTTAGATTCGAAAACTAGAAACGAAGCATTAATTCCCTTTTTTTTTTAATTTTATCTAAGACCGTTTCCCTCCATTTCCAAGTTACAGCTCTTTGAAAAATCCCTTAATTTTTGTGCCTAGTGTAGTTTTGATTATTCCACTATGTGACAGAAACCAATTTGTGAGCAACCCCGTTACCAAAACGAAAATAATGAAAAGTTCTGAGACTTGCAAAAAATCAGATGGAAGCAATAAAGCGATCCGGCAGAAAATTTATATGTATGAAAAGCATGCGGTACATCTAATATAAGTATAATTTCCTTTATAGAAAACATCCTCTAAATAGGTAAAGAAAAATATATTCTTAAAATACGATTCAGTGTGGATACGTTTAGACACTCCGCACATTTTATAGTAAAGTTTATATAACCTTAGAGACAATACTGAATTGTTTATTATGAAAATGATTTTCATGTAACTATGTCTTGTGTGAGAAAGGTAAATTTTTAAAATAAGACTAAAGAAGCTATTTCCACTAAAATTGTCAATAAATGTACAATCCCCCTCATTCAGAATATGACATATGCAGGGAATTTAAGCAGAAAAGATGTTTTACCTTTATACATCTTCACCTTATAAAAAGTTATCGAAACACCACTTACTGGAAAATATGAGAAAGGGTATATGCCGAAGCCAACACAAAAGCATTTGTCATCTTGCAAAAAAGGGTTCAGCATATAATTCTAAATCACAGCAGTCATGTACGAAAATTTTTTGAGCAAAAGAGATGTATTATTTTATATCAGGCTCTATGTGCTTAACAAAATTTAAGCAACACAGAATAATCTTGAAAATAGGTAATTAGGTTAAAAAATTTTTTAACGTCTCGTTCGGAAAGTTTCTGATTCATAACATCAAATCGTAAAAAATACAGGGACACATACAAGAGTGCAAGTGTTTCAATCTGGAGATTACATTGCTGCCTTCGAAACTCTCAATTATAGAGGAAACGGCGGTAGTAGGTATGGAAACTCGTTTTGTTTTTCATGAATAAGTTGAAAAGAACAAATTATTTCTAGTTGTCTTTTTTTACCAGTTAACTCCTAATACATTCATATGGAGTATCTATAATTGTAGCACCCCCCAAACATTAATTGGTGGTAGAACTCCTTAGGGTAAGAAATGTGTTCTCATAAACATGTGTTGCGATACATGGTGTTCAATTAATCTTATCTTATTCATATATTTCTGTAGATACTTGATATATATTAATGAAACTTGTGCAAATAGTTTGCCTAATTGAAAGGAAGAGTCCACTTAATCGTTTTACGAATATGTCAAGAAGTGCTTCGAAGATACTGTAAGATTATGTTAATAAGAACCCTAAACCAGGCGAAATATAGTTTTTAAGTAATTATATCTGCAGATTATAGCACCATCCAGTATTGAATTATACTAACAATAGGTAGGAAACAGTTAAGATCACACAGGTTAACAAGGGTCAAGAAGCAGACACACTAATATGCATTCCCGAAGGATTTTGGTGCGTTGAATCCGAATCTGGCAGTACTGCTCTATCACGTCAGGTTTTTGAGATATCCCAACCTAAAAGTGCAAAAAACACTGTTTTTCGTCATATTTGAGGTTATGTAGTAATGCCATCTATTCTTTAAAAAAAATACATATAATTTTAGAGTACAAAGCTCCCTCTTTCGAATGCCGCTGAGTTTGCTCAAATATATATTTTTTTCGTTAGTTTATCAGTTTATTAATATGCGAAAATCTACTAAGGATCCGTTAGACGTCAAACAGTTGATTGCAGTTCAGAAACTTCATACTCAGAAACCTACAATACATACGAACTCAAACTCACAAACTCCAAATCCACAAACCCACAAACCTCAATTCCACAAAACCCGAACCTACAAACTCTAACCTTACAAACCCCAAACCCACCAACTCCAAACCCACAAACCGTATGAGTATGAAGTTTCTGAATTGCAATCGACTGTTTGATGTCTAAGGGATCCTTAGTAGATTTTCGCATATTAAGACACTGAGAAACTTAAAAATTTCAACATGTGATATCTCAACGAAAAAAAAAAAGATATTTGAGCAAACTCAACGGCATTCGAAGGAGGGAGCCTTGTACTTTTAGATTCAATGTATTAGTTTTTTGAAAAGAATAGATGGCATTACTACATAACCTCAAATATGACGAAAAACAGTGTTTTTTACACCTTCAGCGCACCTAAATCCTTCGAAAATATATATTCAAGTTTCTGCTTCCAAAAAAAAAAAAATTTTGTTGGTCTGGGATTATTGGTCAGCAGAATCCACACAAAGATCGACTTCGAACTTATTAGTTCTCATTAGTAAGTGGGACAACCTGTAAGCTTGAAAGTAGGGACAATTTTGTTATAACATTTTTTGTAGCTTATACCCACACCATTTGTCGCTAGTCTCACCTAACGATTATGAATAAGTTCGAAATTCGTATGTGTCCGGTGAAGTTACTGACGACTGATCTTAACTTTTTACTAAATATTGGGGGTGTAATTCAATGCTTTAGTCCGCATAGTGGTCATACAATGCATACATTGCAAAAATTTGTATTGCCATTAAGGGTTTTAAAACAATTTGACGTAAATACTCTTTTGCCTTCTTTATCTTTACCTATAACAGTAAAGTTTGTATGAACTTTTATGTGCTATAATCGATTTCCCATTGTGACTATGGAAATTACGCAATTTTTAACAGTTAAATATATTTATCTATTTTCAATTATTAGCAGCAATTGTCATTTTGTTGTATGTAGAAATATCTTCGTTGATTTCCGTAATATCCCAATTTTTGGAGTTAAAATAGTAGACAACATATTCTTCACCATCATCTCTATTCTATTAAATCTATCAAAATATTTCACCTAATAGATTGTCATTATCTTCATTGGTGTATAATGTTAGAAGTAGTAAGTTAATAAATGAACCCAACATGCCTAAAATTGATGATGTTGTTGATCTTCGTCTATTATTTAACTAAAGAATATATTTTGATTTCTCTTACAAAAACTATTCACTCACTAACTTTACCCCAATTTAACTGTCTCTTTTTGACTGCAACCCCTCATGAAACATCTGTACTACTCTTAGTATCTTTCAGTTCATAAAAATTGCCTGTTTAGGAACGTCTTCATACTTCGAAAACTAAAATGACTTGGATTGTTTTTAAATTTTACTGATCAGTTATATTAATTCAGCTCTCAGGGCTTATTGGGCAGCACGATTAAAATTGCAAAGGCATTTGTTACAAAAAGTATTTTAATAACGTTTAGTAATATAACAAATCACGTTTTAATCCTGCAAAATTCGTATAAATGGATGCTCTCAATGAAGGTTCACTTGGTGTATAAATACTCATATCTGCTTCAAATCTACCACAGTGTTTTAACTGCCACCCCAAATATGACCCTTCAGGGCGTTTATCTTTTACGCCTATAATTTACAGCCAGTTTTGTTTCCAAAGGAAACAGGATACTGTGATGCGGAATATGGGTACTGCGCTTTATTTGCTATCTGATCCGTTACTCTTTCAAGAGGGAAGAAAATATGTATATATAGTTATGTGTCTTTTTATTTATGCTATAAAATTCGTAATTTAGTTTAATAACTCAATTTTGGTTTTGCCATTTAAGAGGTTCAAAATAAATGTAATGGTTTGTTCATTTTTACTGATTTAAAATTTATATTATTTCATAATGTGTATATGTTATAACATTTTGTTTACAGACGTAATAGTTATAAGACTATCCACTATAGCTTCTATTAAAAAGAAAGATTAATATAGGGTGTTTTTATGGCATGCTCCCTGTAACTTTTATGTGGACTGTTTGATAGTAAGAGCAATTGCGTTGTTGCCAAATTATTTTTTTTAAGTTTTTTTATTTAATAGGATACACTGTACGTTTTTATTTACCTGGATATAAGGATTTTTCATTGTTACGTGATATAATATTTGAAGAGTCTGCATTAATAGTCAAACATAACCGGAATCATAGGCATAATGTCTTAGAAAGAAATTGTTACTACATGTTTGTTCTATTTGAAACATTTATGTTGACGTAACATAAAATTTGTTTTAGGGTATTCTCCTACACTGTACGTTCTCCTACGCTAGAAGAATAAAATTACCTACAATAGAACCTAGCCTACAACCAACCCTGTAACACATTGCACCCGCCCTAAGATTTCTGGTCTCTAATTATTACTTATTTCATCTTTGAGAATAGGCTAGTCAATATAGGTTTTTGATGTGACCAAAAATACTATCAGCGCACCATATGTGCCATCATTTAAAAGACAGTCCGTAGATATACTCTGATGTGTTTTCGACTCGCAACTCTCATTAATTTATTTGTTATTAACATTTCATTGCAAAAAACGTGGTTTTTCTAGTTTTTTGCTTATAAAACCAAAACTACTAGAGCAATCTCAATTCCATAAATGGAAATTAAATTTCGAAGAAAATGAGAGGTCAAGCGATTCGATCGGTTGATTAGAACCGGAGAAAATCCGGAAAAACTGGAAAATGCGGCATTTTCTTCAAAATTTCTTAACATTGTTATTCATTGGCCTAAAAGTGTCAAACATCACTGATCAATATTATTTAAGTTACAAATGGTAAACATTACAAATAAAAAATAAAAAGTAATTTAAGAAATGCCACAAATCAATATCTTCAGACAACATAAAAGAACTTTTTCAAAAAACGCACACAAATTATTTTGCAAAAAATAAAAATAAATATTCTTAAATTTCGTGTTGAACAGCCTCTGTAGATTTATTATTATACTATTAACTAAATTTTGGAGTAATAGTTGCTGTAGTATGATAATGTTGCAAATTCACTTGAACTTAAAAGAAGTTGTATATAGCAATCCAAAATTACTAGATTTTAAATGAAAAATTATTTATATTTAATATTTCGCGTCATAGAAATATTTTAATATCAAATTGCACCTGCTACCTGGCTAATATTGGCGTGTTTGGTAATTTTTATCCCAGATCTCATCATTTGTTGGCACATTTTAGAAGCATCTGTATTTAAAATTAATTATAGATCACCAACAAGTTAAAAATTATTAAAATCTAAATTTAAGTATACTGGGTGATTCAGTTTGATAATCGCGGCCTTGTATCTCTTTTGTTTTATCAAATAGCTACAACAAATCCTATATATTTTTAAATCGCCGCTCAAACCCTATCAAATAAATCATATTGTTAGATCGTCTCTATGGTAACATATGTTAAAACTGCTATAGTCAACTGTTTTTGTTCAAATGGCACACTATATATTTTTGTATCAATTTTGGAAGATATTTTTTTTCTGCGTTCAACTATGTAAGAAAGTCTATAGTTTCATTAGAAATATTACGTGAAAAACAGTAAAAAAGATGTACCCTACTTTTCGTAGCTTTATTCTGAAAAATGATAGCCAACTACGAAAACAAGTTACTATGATTTTTAAAGTAACATTTTATTTTTAATACGATAATAAGATAACAATTTAAAACAATACTTATTTCAAATGTTCAAAATGACCTCCATTTGCTTCCAAACATAGAATAGCTCTGTTTATCACTCCCTCTCTACAAACACATTCTGTGTTTCTTTATTTAATCTCCGACATTCTACGCTTATTCTGTTTTTAAGGTCGCCAATATCATTTAAAGGCGAAGAGAAAACTTTTTCTTTTAGGTAAGGTCAAAGAAAGAAATCTATAGCAATGAGATCCGGAGATCTATAGCAGGCCATTTAACATCTTTATCGAATGTTCTTCATCTCTTAACCTTCTGGGTTTAAAAATTCTTTCTTTTGAAAACCAACTGCTGCCAAATTCCTGGCTAACTTTTCGAAAATTTTATAGATAGAAGTTGTCTCTGTGGTATAAATGCCTGGCAGCTTTAGCGTTCTTTTAGCACTCTCCATAAATTAAAATCATATCTAGTTTTACTTGGTTACTATAAGTATTCATGTTATAGTAATAATAATTAGTTATAGATAGAATAGGTAGGTACAAAATGTCAATTATTTTGAAAAACCGCTATTTTTTAGAAACGTCAAAATTCAGTTGTTTCCGCAGCTGGCTATCATTTTTCAGAATAAAGCTACTGAAAGTAGGGTTCATCTTTTTTGCTGTTTTTCTAGCAATATTTCTAATGAAACTATAGACTTCTTTATATAGCTGAATGCAGAAAAAAAATATCTTCCAGAATTGATAAAAAAATATATAGTGTGCCATTTGAACAAAAACAGTTGACTATAGCAATTTTAACATATGTTACCATGGAGACGATCTAACAGTATCATTATACTCGTAAATGTCTGAGTTAGTAAGTTACATAATTTGATAACAGAACGATTCAAAATTATCTCGGACCTTCTTAAGTTGGACCTAATTATAAAATAATTTGCTTACAAACCGATATTTGCCATAATGATAACTACTAGAGTATATTTTAAAATAATTTATCCACGGAAAAATAATCCACATTAATAGAAATATTATCTTTCAAATTTTATTACATAAGTTGTTACGGAATTTAAGGTATACAAAAAAATTGAAAAGTTATAAAACTGCACCTTCCAAGAGAGATGTGGAATTAAAAATTCGTATTTGTAAAACCCCAATTATTTGCATGAGTAGAATACCGAATATCAGTGAAGTTTGTCCAAACTTATTAACAATTTGTATAGATGATGGGTATACTATTGCAAAAAACTAGATACTAATTTTATTTAACTTACCGTCAGGAAGAGCTCCCAGCGACCACATAAAATCTAAAAAAATGAAAAACACCATTAGTAAATAGTTGCTAATCACGTCGCGTAAACATTTAGAAACAACAAAAACTATCTTTTATCTAGGAATGAATGTTAGCATTCATGAAATTTCAACTACGTGTCTAAGCTACTAAGATCGATAAAAACGCGAGCGAAGCGATCAACTAAAGGTAAACGCTCGAGAAAACTTTAGTCTTAGTTAGATCTTTTTTTAGTATTTTCTCAATCAGAGCTGCATTACATTCGACTACACTACACTGTCTAGATCTACTTAGAAATATACTTTATCACTAGAAAATATCAACTCAGTAAAACGTGCTATTAGATAATAAACAATTATTTACAAATAAAAGGTGACTGTTAACAAAAAAGCTTCCAAGCATATTTTTCGTTGAATTTCAAAATAGTTTTTGTGTTAGAAAAGGAATTTATCTCGTTTTTATTTTATAGATGTAACAGCTACTTGGAATCTTTATTGTAATAAATCTCGTATCTAAAGCTCTTAAATCGTTTACACTTTTTCTAATAACGTTACTCATTTATAAGTAAAAATCTGCAACTAGTTTTTAACTAACTATAAATTTACAATAATTGTAAAATATGCCTTTATATTTCACCCCAGATAATTTTTTTATGGAGTCGCAATATCTCGTTGAATGTGTAGTTAACACAAATGTTTTCACATTGTGTTCTAAATGCTAGATTATTCTATCTAGAATACAAACATTTGTTAATACCTAGGCTAGGATTTTATTGTTACTCTATATTAAATTAAAAAGTAGCCTAATTGTACGAGCTACATTAATTAACATTCTAAATTCATAAAATTAAGTACAATTAGACTGTAAAGGATTTACCCTGGCCAGTACGTTACAAAACATAAGCTCGCCAAGGCAACTTTTTACAACTATTATTGTCTATTTCTATACAAAAGTTTAGATCGCACCTTTATAAGGCTAAGGTATAGTGTAAACCAAGCCAGGACGACACCTCAAAAAGGACCAACAAGGAAGAAACCCGACAGGACCTGAAAAGGACGAACTACTGCCCCGACTTGCGTGAAAATTTTACGTTAAATCACTATACAAACATAACATACTATACCTAGTAATTTAGCCTTACATTATTGTACAAATATATGAAAAGAAAATATTTAAATATTATAGAGGACAAATTAGAATTATTAAAACAGCAGGAAATCATGTGTGAATACTATAAATATTAAAAGAAATAGTAGAACTGATTGACTTATTTGATTGTGGTTTGTTTTTTAAACAGTCTGTGCTATACTTAAATATTTTCCTTAAAATTTTAGTACACAGCTTAAGACACACGATGAAGAAATTTCATGAGCTACAAAATGATGAAGGTTGATCTAATTTCACGATATACAAAATTAACAGCTACCCTCGGTTACTTTTATTTTAGTCAAATCGATATTTCTAGTAAAAAGAAGATATAATTCAATTATGTAATACGCGTACAGGCTTATAGTGACGATGTCGGGCTAAAAGGAGTATTCACTTTTACAAAATCTAATTTTATCAACTACGTTTATACGATTTTATCTGAAAAAATATATCAACTAATCTGTCTAGCTGTATTTTAATTTTAGTTAACAGTTCGCCAAGCTCTGAATATCGTGAGTAGTTCTGAACTATAAACTATTAACCCGACAAACCCAAAGTGAACTACCGTTAACTAAAGTATCTAAAATTTTCACTAGCAGTCTTCAATTTTGTACTGTTCTACCGGAATATAGGCCATTTTATAAAATATTTCATCACAGCGGCTTCCTGAACGCGATCTCCCAAAATGATAGGAATAATTTATTAAAGTGGGTTGCATAATATACGTACACATTATAAGGAAATTGCCTATACTAATATACATAAAATACTGATATGTAACATAGATATACACATGATAATACTTGAATATGCCTTACATAGAACTTTTTTAGCCATAATGTTTTACGTCTGAAAGCGTTACCCGTTAAAATGTTACACTTACTTATTTAAAGTCGAAGACATAGAAATAATGTTTTGTTGTCGTATTGCAGAACTGGAACTTTTATTGAGAACAGGTTTTATATACTGTTTTGCAACTACTGCTAGTTTTTTTGGTTGTTACGGCCCGAAATAGTTTTCCCTTGTGTGTCAATGAGCATGCTGAATTTAACTATTTTTTATTTGATAATACGAGTATACATGTATTATCATATCTTTAAATAAATGTAAAGTACTTATAACTCTTTCCCAATTTTTTTATACATTGAGTTAAGTAAAGTACGGGGTTTTCATTAAAAATGGCACAAAATATAGATTACTGAGGTCGAAATAGAAAGATTTAGGAAACGTGATTTGAATAAATATTTCTCTTTTTCAATTTAAATGAAGTCAATGTTTAAAAAAAACTCAAATTCTACCAGTGAATATGTGCGTCTTTTTAAGTGGGAAATTAGAAATTACTGTCTATTTTATATTTACTGGTAGAGAGTGCTAGTAAAATCTTACTAGATCATCAAAAATAGTAAAAACTTGCTTATGTTTAAATAACATTATTTCATTCATAAAACTGTTAAAGGATAGAACACGAAAAAATAATAGGTGCTTTCTTATATAACATTTCTCTTTAAAACATCACGTTCAGGCATTCAAAAAAAATGTTCTTTGTTATCTAGTTAATAAATAAATAATTTTTATTTAAACTGGGTACACAACAATCATAATAAAAGTAATATTTTAACACGAAAAATATTTTAATGCTAACGGCAATTATAGGTTCCGTACCTATTTGAACCTCCGAAAACTTTTACCCCTACAGTGAAAAGTAATTTTTTGGAAACGATATTAAAATACTGTTATTTTCCGTAAAAAGCTGATCTTGGTAAATTCGTTAAGAGACCCTCTTTTTCAAACATTTTACCTTTTATAATTAAGGAATATTTTAAGGAATTAAATATATATTTTTTGTTGTTATACAACTTGGTATACAACAATAATAATAAAGGTTAATTTAATTTTCGGCTGAAGGCCCAGACTCAATGAGGAGGTATTGACTTAATTTAACAAATTGGTCAAAATAAAACAAAATCATTTTTTTAAAGTTGAATACCCGCCTGTTCAACATAGTGTTTTTGAGAAAAATGTTACAGAAAGGGTTCCTAGTGTTTTCATGCTCTATCTTTTACCAAAATTATGAACAAAAAATGGGAACACCCTATATTAGTTAAAAGTAAAAAAATATATGCAGCTGTTACCGAAATAGAAAGTTTAACATAAAAGTAGTAATTCGAATTTTGTAGTTTATTTCGATTAATTTTATCTTCACCTTATTTCGGTAACTCTAAATAACATACTTAGTACAGGGCTGGTTCACGTTTTGATCGGGCTTCAGCCGGCAATATTTTGCACAAAAATTACTTGCAATTTGCAATTATTACTTTGAATAAAAAGTGGGTCGCCAAACGTTTCGTTTTCAAGACCGCTGATTTATGTTGCTGGATTAAAAGTATATTTTACATTTTAGAATTCCGATTTATTTTAAAATAAGCTTATCACACAGAGTAAATTGAAAATAACTACCTATTTGTTCTACAGAAACAAAGCATGTGAATTTGTTTTTGGAAATATAATTTTAACATGATGGATATAAGTTACTGAAATAAGTCAAAATTTCTACGCCAATGATATTTTAGACTTTTGACATATTACGTCGTATTTAAAATCGTATTTCTATTTCGTATTTTTTTCTATAAAACGAATAATTTTAGAGTTACTTTCGATTATCATCAAGTCAAGTTCCATCGGTTTTCGATGATTACCTATCCTACTTGAAAACCGCTAATAATAATTATTATTAGCGGTTTTCATTAATTAAATAATTTCTTTGATCACCTACTGAAGTTTCTCGCTTGCATCCTGGATCATCCCCTATATTTCATAAATGGTGAGTTACAATATTCGTGAACAAGGCAAATTTGTTATATAAACCAAATTTTGTGTAATTCAGTGTATAACTCAGCAGGTGTAACATTTCCGTGTTAATATATTAACATACTCTTGCTTTTTCGTAATAAATAATGCTGCTAATTATTATGCTATAGTGGCGGTATTTTTTAAAATTGTTTAATAAAATCAAAAGTATTATTTAGCACCGTAATAAATATTTGTAAAACGTTCTTTTTTTTGTTTATAATTTACTAGAATGTTAATAGTTAGTTAGATTTTCTATTAGAATTTATTAACAATTAAAACAATGTTACCTACTAATTAGATTCTCCATTAGAATTTATTGAAAATTAAAACGTGTTAAATAATTTTTTTTTATAAAATCATAGAAAGGAAAAAAGAAAGTACTCTTTATTTTCATATCATTTTAAGAACTTAATCCTGTGAAGATTATATATTGTATAATAAAATTAACACTTTAATGTGTAGAAAAGGAACAAAAGTTTAATGAGACAAATAATTGCACGAGGTCACATTATTAAGCTACAAAGACTGTGTAAAAATTACACAACAATTAACATTTGTTAATCAGAGCAATAGATTGTTTCTTTTTTGCCTTCATTCTTAGAAACATAGTACCTCTGAGGATAAAGATAATGAATAAACTACTGTTAGAAAAAATACCATAATTACAATGTTTATAGTATTTCAATTCTTAATTAATAAATTCAAGTTTCCTGTTTGTTTATATATTTATTTATTGAATTATTAATATTCAACGGGAAAGCCCTATTACGGAGTACCTATGTGAATACTATAAAAGTATAACAAAATTTCGCTGTGTAGTATTGTGATTAGAATAATTTCTATAAAGTGAGTTCATTTGATGGTTAGTTGAAGCAAATTCAAGATAAAACTACTAGATAGGTTGAGATATACTGATACATTAAAACAATATTAGTACAAGATCCCGACTTAGATCGACCCTCACTCATCGAGTTTTCTAATAAAATTTTAAATTGAATTGAATTTCGAATTGAATTTTGAATTGAATTGAATTTTGAATTGAATTGAATTGAATTTTGAATTGAATTGAATTGAATAATTTTGAATTGAACTTTAATTTTTTATTAAAAATAGCTGTACAGGGAAATTGGATGTCGACCAAATGAAGTTTTGTTTATTCAATCATTATATTATCAAAATTCAAATTTCATTAAAAAAACTCGATGGGTGAAGGTCGATCTAAGTCGACGTCTTAGATTAATATTATTGAAAGATTATCAACATTACTATGCAATATTTTGTGCAAATATAAAACTTAAACCAGATTTCCTTTTACTCTAGCGACTACTTGAGACTACTCTTTAAATATCTTTTTTTTTTAACTTTTGCACCCTTTTAACTCCATATGTAACTAGCATGAAATGGACTCCAAATTGTTGCAAATAGTATTCTAGTTGTAACCATTAAAATTAAATCAAAAGACAGATCATTTATTATTTCTGGACTGCAATAGATAGTTTATCTTATATTCGTATAATATAGGATTCTTTTTTGTTATAGTTTCATTATAAGATTAAGATGCAGAGTGATATAGATAACCTATAAATATAAAATCAAAATTTATTATTTTGGAAAACCTCAGTAAAAAAACTTTCTTGAAATTTTCAACTTAATGGTTTCCGAAAAGAAGCAACGTGTGATTAAAATCTTTGACTCGACGTTCTATTTCGACTGCAGGAATCGCCCATTAAGCTGTACCGCATTAATAATGAAACACCCCCTAGGTGTTCTTAAATGTAATATGAAATATACAGGTTCAGAAAACGTCTTAGGTCGCATAAACATGTTAGAATTGATAAAAATGAAGGATCTACCAGGATAAGAAGCTAATAGATTTACAACCCCAATCCTGCGGGTAAAGTGTTCGTATAAACGGTCGATATGTCGAGCCCCTGGACCCCTAATAAGTCACTCATGGAATAAGTTAGAGTGGGGGGACCTCTGGCCATGGGCCGCAGAGCCGCGGGAGTGGCAAATACTCTTTTACAGCCCGTCACGTCATAGACGGAGGCGTAATGCAAAGGGGCCGGCGCCACGGCGATCGCCGCCACTGGTATGGAGGGGCCAGCCGTGGCCACCGGGAGACTCGCAGCGCTTACTGGAATCGGGTAGGGAGCGTAACGTAACGCGGATGTCGCGGTACTTCCGGCCACAGGTCCAGGGTTCAGCATAAGCAACTCACCGTATGCTCCCCGACCAGCCGCCCGCGTCTTGGCCAGGTTTGCGGGCAGCATTACTTCCTTTGGTTGGGCTTTCTTGCATTCCACCTGGAACATAATAATAGGATTATAAAGCTTGTTTAGTATTGGGTGTGATAGTTAGTTTGACACTTCGGTGCATAAATAAGGTGACTCGTTTGGAAGGCGTTACGGCATTCGCGCCTCTTTATTGTACACAGAAACACTAATAGGATATTAAATGCCCGCTGTTAATTCATTGTAAAATCTTTAATGTGCTGCCTTTTATATTAAAACAATATACTAAGATAATAATTATTAGTATTGCAGTAATCTCAAGAAAAAAATTATTAATCAAATTTGCATTAACACAATTAATTATAACAAAAAAATCGAGATTTCTACTGATTTTGAGCTACTTTTTGAGGTTAGGGAAAAATCCTGACGTGATGGAGCACTTCCGATGGTTCCATCGTCTTCAGTGGACCAAGATACAATAGGGTATAACATACTCTGTTAAAAGGAATATAGAAAAAAAATGTGCATGTGTAATCTGTTGCTAAGCAACAGTCTATCAAACATGTAAAAATATACAGTGTTATATCTAATTTTAATGTTCAAATGACTTCTATTTTTCTTTTACGGCTAGCCGATTTATAATGGATATACAGGGTCAATCACAACAAGTGTAAAATAATTTAAAAGGACTACTACAGACCACTAAAACTATAGCAGGTATGTTAATCGTATATAATTATTAATAGTTTAAAAGTTACAAGGTGGAAAAATAAAATAAGTATACAACTTATCTCAAAAATTTAAAGGGGTGAAAAAGGAGCAAAAACTAAGTTGACTAATGTCACAAACTTGTATCGGAAGTTTAAGGTCATAGAGAAAAAAGCTAATTATAAATGTGTTTAAAACTGATTTGGAACTGCTGAAATACATGTATTTTATCGCAGCGAGTATTTACAAAAAATTCTGTAACACTTTTTACGAGTTTGTAGGTTTCTTATGAAACCGGACTGTATTCGAAAGTCAGTTTGTAATACATTGTTGTAGTGATTCCAAGTTTTCTTTTCAAAATGCTGCATTTATTTAGCAATCGCGAATATTACATGCTCATAATTTTTTGCGAACCAAACGATAATGCCCACAGAGCTTGCGAACATTTGTTGCTGAAGCGCAAAGAATTTTAGACACCGGTGATGTAGAACCACGTTGAGGTCGCGACGGTGGCCCAGGGCTACCACTAAGAATTTTAAATGTCGAGGAGATGATTTCAGATCTCGTCGACGAAGATCCGCATCGTAGGAGCAGAAATATTGCACAGCAAGTAAATATTTCGCAGAAAATCCACACGAAATAGCAGTCCCCGCTCACTTTGTTCGGAGTGCTCGACTTTCTAAACATTACTTTTCCCGATCGCTGGATAGGCCGCGGCAGCCTAGTTAGATGGGAATATGTGAAAAGTGTTGCGTATTCCACGGAAGTTCGTGACATCAACCAACTGCGACATCGTATTGCCGAAGTTTGTAATACGATTCGAGAGGATGTGGCAATGTTGGAACGCGTACCAGCGAATTCGATACGTCGCGCTGAAGCTTGTGTGCAAGCAAATGGTGGGCACATCAAACATATTGTATGAAAATCAGCAGTTCTCAAAAGGTGGCTCCTTGCAATGTGAAGGTAAGTCAGAAATCCGTGTCTTTACCTCATTTTGACATAACGGACATGTAGCAAAAATATTTGACATAAGTTTATTTAACACCTTGTATACATATTTGTGCAATATCTCAGAAACTAACAAGTATCTTTTGTTAATTTTTTGACCATTTGATAAAGCCCTTAAACTACACTTCATGATAAAAGATTACTATAAGAAAATTTATTCAGTGTTTCACTCTATAATTCTTTGCTGTATTTAACCTATATTTTTTAAGCAAATATGACTTTTGCTATGCTAAATGTTGCCATTTTAAAATTATGACAAGTGTAAATAACTGACTTTATTTATTAGTTGTGCGTTTCATGTTTCAGTTTAATTAAAAATTGTATTCTATTATTTTTATACTCAATTTAAATTATCCACATATTTTATTTAATATAGTGAAGACACCGATTGTAGTGTAACAAATATAGCGGAAAAGTTGTGACTGCGACTATGTTAGTATACGAATGTGTGTGAGATATAACCTACAAAGTAAACACATCTTAAATATCACTGCTACTGTCACTTATGACATGCCGATGAGCACTAATAAGTTTGAAGTCGAACTTTGTCTGATGATGTTGCTGAGTGATGAATGACTTTGGCCATAACTAGATATTGAGGGTGTAATCCAATACTGAACAAAGCACGCAGCTCACAGAGTGATAATAATAGTTTCCCACAATATCATTAGTTAAATTCGTCAGTATAATTATAGAGATAGATAATAATGTTAGTATCATAATAGTAATCAGTTAATAATTAAATGGATTTTGAGTCCAATATCAAAAGATAAATATATTAATGAACTAAAATCTCCAATCGATCTCACTGCATCTCATCTATCTAATGCAAATGACCATACACCCCATTATTCTGATGTCGCAAGAAAGTAGGCATCATTTGTGGTTAAGCTAAAGCTCAAACCGAATTGCATAAAATAGTTACGTAAATACAGAATTGCTTATAATTATAAGGTTATTCTTCTATTCTATAAGTCTTTCATAACTTAAAAACTCCTGTGTTTTTGTTATCAAGTCTAATCAAATTAAAAAAATCACAGTTAACTTTCGGTCAATTCCCTTTGTTCACCCTATAATATTCCATATAAAAGGAAACTTATTACATAACTAAATATTATATTTTTCAAAGTGCGATGCTCTCCAGACTAGGGCTTCATTGTGGCAAGTTAATCCACACAATGTGTAGTTTGAAACTCGTACGCTAGTTCATAACACTGCTTAAAATGAATATGGAGATGTCGAGTTGTAAATTGAAATTTATTCTGAACATAAAAATTCAGTTGTGTGAGGAACTTAAGCATACCAGAAAGAAAACAAAAATGATCACGAATTCTCAGAAAAGTTGATAGAATATGCAGTACCTTCTGCCGTATTGCATATACCTAATTTTAAAGTTCATATTTTTAAATATATGGTTGATAAAAACGTGCCAATTTTTAGTTTTATTTGCTTTTTTTCTGGCGCACGTCCTAAACAGATGTTCAGGTTCAAATTATTCAAGTGGCTACAACTAGAAGATGTAAGAGAACAATATGCGAATTGTAAAAAACAAGGAAAATAACAACAGAAATGACTAATCTGCATATTCTAGAGTGATATGCAGATTAGTCATTTCTGTTCAGAGTACATTAAATAATGTAACAAGAGAATAAATGCTAAAGGTCCTGTCCTGAATATTGTCATAACATAAACTAAGAAGAACTAAACATTAGTCCCTTCTGTAGACCTTCGAGCTAAACAGCTAAATCTGTCAGGAGAAGTAAAATATCCAGGAATAATTTTAGGGTTTATATCACAAAACATTCAAGCTATATGATACCACTTATTGAATAAATGAAGTTATTCAGATGGAGCCATATGATACAGAGGGAGCTATGTAGTCGATATTTCTTAGACTGTAAAATATACGGTCGCAAGATCAAGGCAACATATTTCAGTATTAATTTAGCATCGTGGATCTATGGACTTCAACTCATGACTTACTTGGAACTAGCAGCTTAACAGAATCATATAGAACAGAGAGCACACATGGGAATTAAAGCTCAAAATGATGTACTGGGCATAGACGATAGACCCATAGGCATCTTTGGTGTGAAGGACAACGAGGCTTGTTTGGCGATAACGCAACTAATAAAAATTACACCTACAGTAGCTATGGAACCACTACTAACCTTGCCATCTCTTCACTTGAAGATAATGGGAGAGTGCAATATATGTTTTGTCAGGCTGTTATAGGTATACACCTAAAATACATTCATGCAGATTATGACCACAAAAGAGTTAAAAATTGAATGAGTATTGCATTCAATTAATCTATTATTGACTATCAACATAAACTTTGAGAGTTGAGCTAGCAATGGTACGCAAACGGGTGAAAGAAGGAGCAGGGCATTGGGGCTGGTATCTGAGAAAACAATATGAAAACTTATCAATCAACTTATAGGTAGATCAATATTTTTATAAACAGTCAAGCCTCTCTGAAAGAATTTACAATTTCGACGGTTACCTACTAGCATAATATGTAGATACTGAAACAATTTGTCAAAGTCTTTCATTAAACAACGATCAAGAAAGACGACTGAGGAACTATCATCATTAGGCAGCAATCAGTTGCGCACACTGACTGACCTCCTCACAGGACCATAATGTTCTGCGACTACTTAAGGAGGCATTGCCAGACGGCTCCCACAGAAAAAAGGCTACAACTCGCAAAGCTACTGGTCAAATTTTGTGACAAAATGTGATATTCAATAGCAATTTGCGGTTATGCCAATTGCTATTGAATAGTTTTTTTTATAGAGCGTGAGCGTGACTTCCATAGACTTTTCACTTTAGGGCAGAAAAAAAACATTGGGTATAACAATTACAATCGTTAATTGTGAATAGTACAAGACGATGGATATAACTGGGGCAATGCGTTTACTTGAATATAACTAAAGATAATTACTCAATTACAGGATAAAAAAAAAATAAATAGTTACGTATTTCCACCATTTGATGTGTTCAAGTATATGTTCTCAGATATGTAACCTTATATTGACACCGCTAGAAAGACCGTTAGTTTTTCCTAATTTGCCTTTTTTATACATTGTGTTTTCGAGATATTAATTGTTCAATCAATTATATGAAATGTTCATATTTGATAACCGAAAAACCGAGGAGTTGGAATTTTTTTTTATTATAATATGTATTGTTATACAAAATTATTTTAGGAGAATCAATGAAATAACAAATTTACAAATATTTTTATAGAGCGGTGTTTGTAAATTGTCATAAAAAGATTCATCTTCTAAGATACTTTCACTTTGAACAAAAAAGTATGATTTGTCTAACCCCATCCGTTTTTCGTATGTCAA